TTTTTCCGAATGGTAACAGATTTTGAATAGGAAGTAAAAACAAAACAAGCAAAAAATGTTCTTTCATATTATTATACACTGTGTAGAACACTGACTTATTATATGCTTGAAACCATGTCCATTATTTACGAACATGTTCCAAAAAGAGTATATCTCCTATCTAGAAATTGTACAGATTCTGTTTGGAAAAGGGATAAAATCATCAGATTAATTGAAAAAGTTAAAATTGTGACTGAAAAATTCAGATTATCATTCACCACATTATAGTTCAGGTCAGAGCTTAATTTCTGAAATTAGAAGTGCCAGAGCTCTATGAAAGGCCATCAGGAAAGACGAACAAAAATAAATAAAATAATTAATAAAACAGTAAAATAATTAGAATAATAAAGCAATAAAATAATTGAAATTTAAATTCAATAAAATGTAAACAGATAAATAAAAATTTAATAAATTAATGGTAAGTAATTAAATAACAAAATGTATTGGACCTCTCCAACTGGAATTACAAATTTCACTCATAAACTAAGAAATAGCTCGGCCAAACCCATCCTTTAATTCCAGATCTTCTAACCATCCATTCAACTGAATTTTAGCCTAAATATATATTATACAGTCAAAAGTCGTTAATTCGGACACCCATAACCCGGATCTCGAAACTAAAAACTTTCTGCGCATGCGCCGCGTTGGCACATGCGCACAGGCGTTTTATGCGTGCGCGTAAGACTTTGACTACTGCGCATATGCGTGTGCGCAAGTGCAGAATACGTTTTCGCCTGCGCGTTTAATGTATAACGGACGGTGTAAGCTAAAATTATTATCTATTTCACTTAATGTTAATGATTGCGTTGTTTCTTAATCTTCGAATTGGATCCCGCTTATTATTTTTTGCAGACTGTAAGAGCAATTTATTAAAAATAAACTTGAACTTTCGATTATGTCAAATCGAATTTCCGATGCTGGAACTTCCAAAGGATCTACAAAAACGAAAGTATGTTTCGATTGTCCAACAAACAAAAAAGTGGAATTGGTTGCAAAAAAATGGATAAAGACATGAAGAATGTGACAGAGAGGTTAGTGAAAACGAAAAAAAAATTTCGATTGACAAGTTAGTCGGTATTCTCGGCACAGCAATTAACGGGACTTGAAACAGCGGAACTTTGTAACTGAACAAGAAATTATGTCTGTTTATAGAATTAAAGAGAAAGTATTATCACATAAAATGAAGCAACTTAAACAACTTACATTGAAAGAAATGTTTAATAAAGTAAACAAATAAATATTAAGCTTTTTTTTTTTTTTTTTTTTTTGGGTTGTAAATTTTGATACCCTTTAGATCATAATTGTTCTTTATTTCATAAATTACGGTTTCATATTTTTAATTTTAGAATTTCTGCATGCCATCTTACGAGATTTAAACTGATGATCTATAATCCGGAATCGCCGAAGTCCCGATGAGTCCGTATTAACGACTATTGACTGTATTGTACTATTTTAAGAGATGACAGAAACAAAGGCCATTCTTTTCCCAACACAACAATGAAAAAACGTAAAATGATTATAGCATTATAAGTTATTTCTCCTGCCTTCGTGCACGTTCGGTGCATATTCGAGAGGTCTGTGGTTCGAGTCCCAGCGAGGGCACTGCTTATTTTTCATGTCTCCTTCCAAAATAACCTAATGTCTCTACAGTGGCTCCCAAAATAAAAGGTGGTGAATGATGATTTTTCACCACCAGGATTTGGCGATTGGGTCCCCTAATCCCCAATCGCTTTTTAAAAGAGGGAGTATGTAAGGTTTTTCTCCTGCTTTCTTAGCATGCCTGTGTGGCATAGTGGTCAGCATGCTCAGTTCGTATTCGAGAGGTCCGTGATTCGAGTCCTGGTGAGGGCAATGCTCATTTTTCACATCTCTTCTGCATCAAAATAACCTCATGTATCTACATCGTCACTAATGAAGATAAACAGAGTACTAGAAACAGCAGCAGAGTAAGGAGGAAATTTAAACAGAGGATATGTAAGCATAAAAACGAAGAGAAGAATCTAGCAGCATGTGATGCATGCCTTTACATTTAAACTGTACAAAAAGAATTATCATATTCCTAACTCAATCGTATAGAAAATTTTTTATTAATTTCTATAAGTATAGAACTTTGCAATTTTACAACATGCAGTATCCTTTAAAATGCAATTCACATTTACTAATACTACATATAAATATATTTTTTGTAAAGAATGTATCTAACATTGAACTTGTCTTAGCAATATTTGCACTTTATTTATGTTAACTGTATTTTTGTAAACTAGAAATACTACACTATTGTCATTCTTTAATTTCATTTTGCAAATAAATATAGTAACACACGCCTTTTCCCTACTGTCTTCTTCCAACCCATCCTTTAATTCCAGATCTTCTAACCATTCATGTCTAAAATTTTGAATATATCACTGTTTAGTCAGAAATACTCCACTAACATAAAACTGATATAGTCACTATAATTTAAAATTACTGCACCACTGTATGTAATACTCAATGTTAAAATGACACCAAATAATGCAATAATTCTATGAATAATTACGAAAGAGACTGCACAGTAAAGATTGCCTTCTGTCGGCTCAGCAGGCTGCACATAAAACATGTTAGTTACTGGAAACCAACAATCATTTACTTTCACAAAACAAACTATACTGAATCATTTAAAGGGTTCTACAATTTAAATTTAAAAAAATTAATATCCTTGTTCATATTAATGCCAAAGCTTAAAAACTATTGAAAATATTAAAGCTGTCTGAAATACTCTAATGAACTCTAAACAGTATTCCATAACTCTAAATGCAAACCAGGCTGATCTGAGGTATTGCACCTGCGCGAGTGGAACAGCAATGTGTTCAATGTTGGGCCTTAGACTGGAAGCTCCACCAGCAAACTAAAGTGTGAAGACTTTTCATCAGCCGAAATCAGGTGTGATGGATGCTATCATAGCCAATTTTTGTCGTCTTTGAACATATCACCAACTCGGAAGTTTATTAATATTTCTAAATGTGTGCAAATTAAATTTTATGTCTGTGTCTTCATGTGTTATGAAAGTGATATAAAAAAAAGATTGATGCATCACGAATGCTATCTTCCTTACACCTGGGATATCATGACAACACAATACAAGTACGCAAGACTTTACAGTTTTAAAAAATTGGCAGAACTGAAATATTCTATCATGTTAATTGAAAGTAAACAGCTTATTATACTTATTTTCAGTAAAATCAGAGCTTAATTGTTGTAAATGTTAATTTAAAATAATAAACAGCTGATTTTTGTTTTCAGCAGAAAATAATAAATACATAGTGTAAAATGCGAGAATATCATAGATATAGGTATACTAATAGATAAAGTATGTTTGTCTCTTCAAGCATCAAGCATGAATTTTTATTCCAGAAAAAGGTTGTGGCATCAGACATGACAGTGACAAGAATTATTCTGATATGTGTTTAAACTGTATTTTACACTGAATTTAGGAATCATTATTTTGAATTATTGCACATACATAAGACAGTGAGATCTGGTTTTTAATTTTGATAGCTATGATGTTTACAATTGTATCCACCATTTTTAAAATGAAAATGGAATAGCTTTTTATAAGTATTTATCATAAACAAGGGTTCATAATTTATGAAAATGTTTAATTATATTTTACAATTCTTTCTCCATTCTGATTCAAATCATAAATATCGTAAATATTATGCTGGATGTATTAAAATTTGAAATAGATATGCACAAGTAAAATTAGTAAATTGAAATAAATAGGTACTTTCTGATTATCCGCACCCTAGTTTCAAAATTTGGTAGAATTGTTGTGTTTCTGGTGTTTATCAAATATACACTAAAGTTTATTCCCATCTTATTTCGATGTTATACATGTGACAACAGACAACTCCACATGCACGTACCATACATATGTTTTACTATATATGGATTAGCATGATTTATATTTAACTAAACAATATCTGACAGCTATTTAAAATCACATTTCTTCTCGTAAGCTTTCTTTTCCCTCACAAAATGCTCTTTTTTATTATGATTAAAATATAATTTATAAGATATAAAAGTAGATAAACATTTCATGTCCTTTTCATACAGTTGCCAAGTTGGAAGTATTTTGTAGAGGTGTGGATAATTAGAAAGGGGCAAATGTATCAATCTGGATTTAGTTTAAAGTTGAAACATTGCCTAAAATTATCTTATTTTTTAACATACATATATACTATATTGAATATTATAACTCATAAGTTAAGAATAGTTTAAGTTTTATTATTAAGTATGTATTAAATTATTATAATTGTATGTCTGTATTTAGTTAATTTTAATGATATAACACAGAAACAGGTTTTTAAAAACACATATGGTGTTACTGATAAAACAATATGTATTCTGAATACAGAAATAAACAATTATGATAATAATTGCCATTGCATTTTTTGTCATTCTCATGGCTATTGCCAACTTTCTGTCTGGAATCAGGTTTTATCGCACAATTTGCAAACTATTATAACTATATCTATGAAGAATACAATGTGGTATCACAAGTTTAGTTCCAATAAGTTTCAAAGTCCAAAACCTATATATTTGTTGTTACATACCAATTTAAAGTAAAAGAAACATATTGAAAAACAAGAAGTTAAACAGCAATCAATATTACAAATCTGTAGTACTAGTTTTGAAGTTTCTGTAGAATACAGTAATAATGAATCTGCAGTACTAGTTTTGACGTTTCATAGATACCTTCAAAACTAGGACTGCAAATTTATAAAAATTAATGCTGATTATTGTTTTAATTTTTAATGAGATATATATATTATCAAGAAACATATTTTGCATTAAGATTATTTCTATCCACATTTCTTTCCTTTTAAATATAATTAGATTTTTTCCCCATTTCCTGTAAAATTATTCTTTTGGCACTCAGGATCTTCTTCCTTCATAAGTTCCTATGCAATGACTTAAAGACATAAATATAAAAAGTTTTATTAAAAAAATTTTTAAATATAGATTCTAACAAAATAATCCAGAAATTAATTCACAGTAAAAGTATTTACAATGTTTTTATAAATTAAAATATGATCTAAAATCATTTATTGAGATGCATTAAGAGTTGTGTCTGTTATTATATCTGCTTCTGTCAGTATTTCAATATGATGATTTTGTTTCAGTTCCTCTAACTGCTCCTCAGTTGCTTGGATAACCTGTATGTCCCCATGTTCTGTGTGTATAATCTGTAAAATAGTTTTTGATTAATAATAAAATATAACAGTTACTACCAAAACAATAAAAAGCCACATTCTCAAAATGATAAAATAAAATATGATTAAAATAATTACTTATGAAAAGAAGCCTGAATTTTATGTATTACTTCCATAATTATTTCATCTACCTAGCAAGGCAAATGGTTTATTATACAAAGCACAAGATACTGAGATGCTTTTTAGAAAAATTATATAAGATTCAAATACTGAAAAATATGCAGAGAACATAAATTTGTTTTCAGTTTTGATATATGTATGCATTTTTAAGGGATCACAGTATCAAATTGTCAAATAATCAAATTTTTAAAATTTAAAATTTTCATTTGGTTTTTTATTGGCTTAAATTTTAGCTGCAATCATTTTCAATACATAGGAAAAACTGCAAAACTATACCTTAAAGTACCTACTGTTCAAAAGTTATTGAAGTTTTTCTGTTCAATAGCAGACATTTAAAGAGACCTTTTTTAAAAAGCTTACTATTTGCTGCTATCTAAGCCTAAGGAAGTATTAAATCATTTTACCCTATTCTGCTAAAAAGAACTGGAATACAGACATATTTACTATTAAACTGGTAATTTCTAGAATTCAAAACTAAATTATTTTCGTTAGTGTTACTTTTTTATTGACACCATTTATATTAAAACTATGTTAAGACTTCTAATACTAGAACTGAAATTAGTAAAAAAAAGCACCATTTCTATTCCAGATGTAAAAAAACAAATAAAGCCTATCAATCAGATTACATTAAACATATTTTTCTGCTTCCCTTTATAAATTAACATTGTTGTTCCTTAACAAGCAATGATAGAGCTAAAACTTAAACTGTGATATTTGAGTGTAATTTTTTCTTATGTATTATTTATTATGCATTTTTATGTATTGTGAAACTGTTATGAATGAAATTTGTGCATTTATTTATGATAAACTGTTCAGTTGTTATAAAATTGTTTGTATAAAAAGTGCATATGCTTAAACCTATAAATTTCTATTTAATATAACAATAAGTAAAATACTTACTATAATTGAACATTTGGAAAGACATATCCATGAATCTACATACTTAATTTTTTTAACTGAATTTGAATTAATTTCTTTAATTGAAATTTATAAATATGACACAAGTTTGAAATAAAATACATAATTTTACATAAATCCATTTTATTTTGATTTAATAATAATAACATACTGAAGATATGTTATTTATATGAGTATTAAAAATATGTGAATTTCAAATTTAGTATATTACAGCTTAAAGCTGAATTACAAACTGAAATAACTTTCCTATTCCTGAAACATTTTTGTATCAAATGATTCATTATTAAATTATGATGGTATTGTAAATAAATCAAAACTATCAGTTTTTAATAGATATATTGGACAATAACAGCATTAGCTATACATATGCATTTAGATTTTGCACTATTTTTTAATAATTTCTTGTATATGATAAATTATAAATAACTTCTCCATAACTTTGAAACAAATAAGTTGAATTTCATTGTAAATTTATTTAATACATTTTTACTTAAAAATACATGAACGGAAAATTCTAGAAACAAGCATTTTTATTGTTATAGAACAATGTTTTGATCTCATAAACATGGCTGCACTTAATAGGCAGATTACATTTTCGGATAGTGAAGGAAATTGCAAACCCTCCCTCATTCCTATTCTAATCTCCTTGTATTAACCATCTGTGTACTGCTCAATTTTGATACCCTATATTTGGTCCTGAAATATGGGGTGGGTTTAAAAAATTTTCTCTATCTTTATATATTACTTTTCATATGTTTATAAATAAAATTTTAATAGTTTTTTAAAATATTAAAAACATACAACATGCCTCACGTGATTTTAGCGTGCATGGAATAAAAATACACAGGATCTTTTTGATTTTGATAAATATACAAGCTAACTAATTTGTACAGCTAATATATTTAGCAAATTAAAACATGCAGTTTACTTGAAATGCAGAAGCAGCGTTTTAATTCTAATATGGAACTATTATATTATTTTAGTTGTATTAGTGACTGTTATTTAACAATTTTTAGCCCAAAGGGGCAATTTGCCCAGAAGGGCTATTAATTACGTTTTGGCATTTTGCTTTGGTTCACTATAAATGGCGTTTCACTCTTCAAATTGTTGTCACCAAATATTAAGCCCTGAATTTATTTAAAGAAATTAAATAATGAACAATCTGCATGAAAGTACATATGTTTCTCACACTGTGAAAAAACAGCGGTACCTACACTCGGTTTTATCTCAAGATAAAATGTTTGGCTTATTTGTTATGGAAAAGCACTCCAGGACTATCTGCTTAAGGAGAGGAATGCCTTCCTGGACTTTTTAAGGGAAAACTAGTTCGTATGCCTGTAACACATGGTAAAAGCTACAAAAACGCCATGCAGCCACCCGTTCACTGGAAATAATATTACTTATTATTATACAAAATGGTTTTTAGTGTGGTAAACTTTGAAACATGGCTCTAAACATAATCCAACTTTACATTCTTCACACATGCGAGTCTCTTTACATATTTTTTTTCCATTGTTGTCTTTTTTGGATCAATATACAGCACACTGCCTTCTAGGTTCCTTTTTTATAGAATTCTGTGATATATGGCTTGCAAAATGCTTCACTACAAGGCGAATAAATTTCATACTATCACCACTAGACTGTATTGATGAGCATATAGCAGAAGAGTATTTGTCAGATTTCCTTGATCCCAGCTAGCTTGAAATCAAGAAGGGATTTTTTCATGTTTGTTATTTTTCTGTATGTTATATATGAATTTCATATTGCTTGATCCAATATATAGAAAAATATTTTTTTGTAATATTTACGTTGTTGTTTTCGGGTACTAGGGTAGTACAACATCTACTGATCACATCTGTCAACAGCAACCATTGTAAAGTTATAATAAAAATCACTTTTGCTTTAGTTTTTCTTTTGCCTTCCCTGAATAAACTGATACAGATGAGGCATCATGAAAAGAATTAAGCATATTTACTTATTTTCTTATCATTCCACAAGGAAAGAAGCAATAGCGTGGATGAAAAATAGTACTCCCTTACAATTGATATAAAATTGTGGCACCATCTAGGTGCAAAATGAAACGTGAAATATGAATATTACAATATTCTCAGCCTACACAGAGAAAAAATGGGATCTGGAAATAAGAGAAATAAACTTACACATGCTATTTTCATGCGACCTGCATTACGAGACAGATTTCGTATACCATGGAAATCGTGGGGCCATATGTGGAGGGTTAAGTAACTGGATATTCAATTTGTACAATGCATCATTAGATTATTAAAACAATGCATTAAAATACATTACCAGTGAAATTTTCACATACCTGAGTGTGATTGATAGCATGGGCAAACACGAGAGAACATCCTTCTTCACATTTCAAAGGAATCATCTGGTTTAAATTACCTTCATTCACATTTTCAACTGATGATGGTTCCAATCTCTCCAACTTTGGTATCATCATATTTTCTGAAGTGTAATTTTCTATTAATGCCGATTCAGAAATAGGTTTAGATGACTTCATAATTTGACTTTTGACAGACCAGGGAAATCTATATACATAAAGTGATATTTTAGCTATGCTGCTTATAAAGATGAATATACTGCAAATGGTAATTTATTGAGTTTTTTAAATACTTTTTTAAGTAATAATTACTAATGAAATATTTTTTATTTCTTATAATATACAATAAATAAAATTCATTTCTATTACATCTATTTTAAAAATATTGTACTGAAACATATCAGATATGAGATAAAATAATACAAGCTAAATACTATGATAAATAGTGATTACTCTTATCCATATATACTAGTGCTATTAATAGTATGGTAAAAACCTAAATAAGTACTTGGAAAAAAAAAAAAAAAAAAAAAAAAAAAAAAAAAAAAGAACGAGAGAGAGAGCTACACAGATTGGATTTAAAAGAGAGAGAATGAATGAAAAAACAAGGGGAAAGAACAGAAAATTTAATATTGAATTGAATAACAACTTACAGAAACAACTGATTTTGGTAATATTAAGTAGCCTGAAGCTGCCGATCCTTTTTTCAAAATAGGGAATGAATTTTTAAGGCTCAGCTATTACAGGAAAGGCCAAATTATTAATTCAAACAAAAAATTAGCAAGTTTGATAAACATTACATAAATGGCATTGTTATGCTTCAAGTCACAATACTTAACCTATAAGTAGCTTTTATAGTATCTAAAAGATATCATTATAATTTTTTAAGGTAAAAATTTACTTGCCCCATTTTAAATTTTATTTTCCTCACCTTTTTTATACATTTACATTAGAAATGATAACACAGCCTATTTTGCACATTTTTCTTTTTCTTAATTTTTAATTCAACATTTTATCTATCCCTTTTATTTACCAAGTATTCCTAATTTTTTTTTTTTTATCTATTTTTCAAAAAGGTCACGGAAAAGATTTTTAATCTAACAAAAAAGCAGTTGTCCAAACTCACACAAATGAATATATGCATTATCATCAGCAAATGGCTGAAAAAATTCAATATTAGTTAAAAATCTGTAAGTTTCAAAAAGCTTCATTCAAAAACATTGATTATAGCCAAACTGAAGAGAAAAATGTGATAAAAATGTAAAATAACATCCAGGGGAAAAATTTTTGAAAAAATTTTTATTTAATAGAAAGGCAACAGATTTTAAACAGGTTAACTTCAATAGGTTTGAAAATATAAGCTGGGACAATAAGAGATTAAAAGGCTGCAGAGTCAGGAAAATGCCAAAATGCTGCACAGCTAAAAATTGTTTTAAATGAAATATTACAAAATAGGTTGTAGTAAATAAAACAATCACTTCTACACGTGGATTCAGTTTTGTTATGTTGCCTCTATTTTTAGCTTTATTTGAAATGTTTATTATTATTATTATTATATTTTCTGCTTTAAAAGTTATAGAAATGTAATAATTTAGTACATTTCATGATGAAACAGTCTTTTTTACCAATGAAGAAATACCACACTATAAGACCAGAAAATATTTTGAAAGTATAGTACATGCAGTAGTTTGTAAAGCATATAATTCCATAAGCAAGTAATGTAATAAATATTAAACTGTGGAGGTAGTCTTTCCATGCATTACTGTTATTCCATGTCATAAAGAGAAAATATTTCTAATTATCCAGTTATAAATAATATAAAAAATATTGTCTTGGCCAGAAATGAATCCAATGAAAAATTTATGGGGCATTATTAAAAAAAATTTTAAGCAAATGAAAATAATCAATGGAATGGAGCCCATCTAAAGCCTTATTCAAATATAACACCATGACAATGATTAGAAAAAAATAATTGCAAATCTTTAACTTAATGGATACCTAAATGAGTCAACATTTCAAAAAATACCTTCCTACGCTAAGAATTGAATTATAATCGATACATTAAATTTTTGTGTTTAATAATCTGTTTACCTCTACATTTGTATACTTTCTGTTATAACTTATGTAAATAAGTGTATTTTCTTGTATTTCTTTGCCCTTTATTTTATATTACCTCTTATTTATTCAGTAAATTTTGCATATTATTATAGTGCAATCTTGTATTTATTTCTAATGTATTTTTAGTAATTTTTAATTATAAAACACTTATTATAGTTTGAAATTTGTTTAAATGATTTGCTATTTTGCAGCATTTATAATCAATATGTAAATAAGACATTGAAATCAGAAGCAGAAATATATGCTGCTGAAACCTACTAGAGTTTGGATACAAATTTTCGTTACTAAACTGGCAGTTTCTCAAAAGCTTAGTGACTTTTTGGAAATTAGCAGAAATTTAGTTTTAGAAGGGAGTGAGTGAAATTTTTGGTGCAAAACCAAAGATCATTATAATGTGCCAAACATGAGGTAGGATGATCTAATTTGATGAAATAAAAAACAATTTCTTAGTAAATAAAAAAAAAGGTGGACAAATGTACCAAATCCAGAGGATGAAATCATAAAAGCGCGCATTAAAATACAATACACAATCTTTCAAAACAGATTAGATTAAGTAATAAAAGCCAGTCTCTTTTAAATAACAAAATAAATTACAATTGACCTTGTAACTTCTTGTGTAGTTTGTTGAATTTAATTACTTCTGTACTTTAAAAGAAGACTCAACTAATGAGTATAACTCAAGAATTCAAAATTTTTATTATTACATTTTTAAACAGTTCATATGACATTCAGCTAGTACAGTAACACGTGCATCACAACAATGGAATGCTAAGTTAAAGTTATTTTCAGTTACAGTTACAGTTGTAGTTAATTTAAATATACATCACATCCCTTCCTCCAGTTTATAAACAATAAAATAAAAATACCAAATAATATCAATACAAGTATATTACAATATGACATACAATAACAAAAAGTTACATAAAAATTATATATGCAATACGTTACATTATTTTATTCCATGACAAAGTCTCTATATCTTGAAGGTTGTCTAATCAACCGTCCACTTCTTGTTATTGTACTATTGGATAGATTATTCTGTTGATTTCCTATATTAACAGGCACAGAAACATTCTCAGGGCTTCCATTTGAATTTTCCTCTTTATCTAATACTATATCATCATAATCATTATTAACTTTGTAAGGTGATTTTGAAAATTTTATATGGCGTCTGTTTCTTCGCAATATTTCCCCATTTGAATTTCTTACAATATAGGATCTAGGAGCTTTATGTTTTGAAATTATTTCACCTTTATCCCATTGCCCAGTTCTAAAGTTGAACAAGGTTATACTATCTCCAGGTTTTAACTCAGGCAGTTTCTGTGCGGTTCTATCATAATAATATTTTTGCCTAGCTTGAAGTGCACGAAATTTAGAATAAGGTTTGTTTATCTTAGTATTTAACAATTTATTACTGATAGGTAATTTTGTCCTTAATCTTCTATTAAGTAACAGTAACAGTTGTGCAGGAGACAAATTTATTCCACTAATTGGAGTATTTCGATATTCCATTAAGCCTACACTTATATCTTGCACTTTTCTTATGATATTTTTCACTATTCCTACAGCTTTTTCAGCCAACCCATTACTTTGTGGATATCTGGGGCTACTAAATTTAAGTTCGAAATCCCAATCCTTCAGCAAATTTCTTAAATAAGTAGCTATTACAGGGATTATTGTCGCAAACGACTTCATTTGCAATACCATACCTGGCAAAGATGCATTTTAACTTTATCATAATTTCATTTGCTGTCTTATCTTTTATGTTAGAAACCTCAATCCATTTAGAGTAATAATCGATAACTACTAAGTAATTTTGATTACCAAATTGCAAGATATCAAGGGCAATTTTTTCGAATGGTTTAGTTGGAATTTCATGTTGCATTAGAGGTTCTTTTTGATTTCTATTTCTGAATTTTTCACATATTTCACATTTGGAAACAAGCTGCTCAATGTCATTTGTCATACCTGGCCAGTAAAAAATTTCACGGGCTCTACTTTTACATTTCTCAATTCCAAAGTGCGCTTCATGAATTAATTGCAACATATCTTTTCTCAAACCATAAGGTACAACTAATTTTTCATTAATTAATAATAAGTCTTAAAAAGTCATTAATATAAAGATCATTTTTAACTTTAAAGTATGTTTTTACACTACTATCTACTTTTTTGTAACATTTAGGCCAACCCTCTTTAATATATTTCATAACTATTTGCAAATCTGGATCTGATTCAGTTTCTTTCCTAAATTGCACCACTCTTCTTTCACTCATAGGCAAATATTTTGAAATAATGTGAACAACATTTAGCATTTCAGGATCATCACTAATAGTTTCATTCACAGGATATGCTCGTGACAAAGTGTCAGCAAAAAGCATTTGATTACCTGGAACATAATTTATCTCAAAATCATACTTTAGTAACTTTAAGATCATCCTTTGCATTCTAGACGAAATTTTATGCAATGGTTTCTTAACAATTGCCATTAACGGTTTATGATCACTTTGTACTGTGACTTTCCGTCCATAAACAAAATTGTGGTACTTTTCAAAAGAAAATACTATGGCCAATAGCTCTTTTTCGATCTGTGCATAGTTTTTTTCACTGTTAGTCAGGCTGCGAGACACAAATGATACAGGCTTACCCTTTTGAATTAGACACGATCCTAGGCCATCCTTCGAACTATCACACTGTATAATTATATCTTCATTACCACTGAAAACTTTTAAAATTGGAGCTTTGGTTAGCAGTTGTTTGATGTTGTTAAATGACTCTTCCTGAGTTTCTCCCCAATTAAATTCTACCTTTTCTTGAATGATTTCTCTTAAAGGAGCAGTAACTTTAGATACATTAGGTATGAATTTTGACAGAAAATTTAACATTCCTAACAACCTCCTTACTTCAGTTTTTGATTTTGGTGTTGGCATATCAATAATTGCTTTAATATGACTAGGATCGGCTTTTTACACCTGACTCAGAAATAATTTGGCCTACATATTTGACTTCCGGTACCCTATATTGTAATTTATCAGGATTAAATTTTATATTTAGAGACCTAGCTCTTTCAAGAACCTTAGAGATAATTATATCATGAGTAACCTCATCAGATCCTGC